TATTTGAAAGCATGTTTAATATCATGATTTTTATACTATTATTAACACATACAGTGCAGTCAGGGAAGTGACACATATTTGTCGTCTTGGCTCTCTTCCCCAACACGTTTGATCTGATAGTTAAAGCAGGAAATGTGAGGTTAAGGTGCTGACCTTTAGCTTTTATTTGAGAGCATTCATGTCCACATCAGAAGAACTGTGTAGGACTTGTGACCTGTTTTACTTTCAATATGCATTTCATTGAGACTGATTCATCGGCATGAAATTGTTCCTATAAAAACAACGAGGTCTGTGGATTATCAAAGGCAACTGGGGCATTGTTTCTGAAAAGATTTTGTTTCACAAAAGCCATTTTTCAATGTTATGAGCACCAAAAACAAAACTGCATTGTATTAAGGTGGCGACAAATGTCACAAAAAAACAGATACCAAAACCAAAACTATCTGTATAGATACCAGTATACATCTATGTATATATATATATATATATATATATATATATATATATATATACAGTCTGCTACAGACAGTGCCATGGATAGAAGAAACAACCCAAGGAATGGGATGAGAGGCGGTCTACTACGCAAACGTCCATCCTTTGATTGTGCAAACAGGCAGTTTTAACTTTTAACAGTTACCAGTTTGTTGACTGGCTGTATAGTGTGTACTGACATGCAGCCACAGTTACTATTATTCACTGTTTTTTCCTATCTAACATTACTTTTAGTGTATGCAGACTTCTTAATTATACATATTATACTGTAGGCCTTTTTCTTCATTTTCTAATATGTGCTAGAACTCTGTTTAGTTTACCCTTCTTGATATAAACAGGGTGGACAAATTATTAGAAACACCTCATAACGCAATACAGTTTTAGCAGCACCATAAACTGCAGCCCTCAAAATGATCGTATAGGTTTGACTGTTCATCAAAAGCTGTATTCTCACCCATGTAACAGTGACAAATGAATCACATTTCCTTCTGAGCGAGATGCAGACAATATATCTAAACTTACAGCAGCACCTGTCAAGCTCCTACAGTCCCGCCACAATATGGTAAAGCTACTGTAACTCTGTGAACAGATATTTTCACTGCATGGGTCAGTGCACTGGTCTCCATGCTGCAGCAGCCTTGGTGAATGTGTGTGTGGTCTGCTGGGTGGCAGTAAGCTTTATAGGCAGCAGAAGGCATGGCTCGGTGGTCTCGAGAATTACGTTTTAGCAGTGGCCAGGGCACAAAATGTATGTGCGGATGTTCATCTTCATTGACAGGAAGCAGGGTTATGTGGGTTAAATACAGAATTCAGTGATTCTCCACGCTTTTGTTTAACTTTATACATAGTTTGTGTTGTTGTTTTGTGAGTAAAGTTAGACCAGTGAGACGATGTGTGTGTATGTGTGTGTGTGTGTGTGTGTGTGTGTGTGTGTGTGTGTGTGTGTGTAGCAGAGATTGTGCTGCTTGGATGCCAGTTCGTCTACAGACCCCACATCTCCCTGAGCTTCCAAGCTGTGAAAACATACTGGAGGTTTGTTGGCTAATAAGGTGTCATTGTGTGGTAGAGCTGTCTGATATCCCACAGAGTCATTAGCGCGACGTGAATAGATTTAATAGAACATCTATCACACCCACACATGTGCATACGGACATGTGCAGCTCTTCACGTGCCATTCGCTCTACAAAAATCAATACTATTTATGAGATAGGATTCCAGGAATGGGCAGGTTTAGCTCAGTTTTCTCTGACATGGTGAACTTGTGCTCTGCTACAGGAATACGGGACTTGAACCACGATTAGAACCTGTAACATCAAAGCACTCTGCTTTCAAAGGCTTTCTTTTTTAACTTCAGCAGTCTTGGCTCCTATGTGTCCAGACAGCTTATAAAGGCCTGTTTTCATCCTCACCTCCTGATTCAACATCCCAGATCCTCTCTCTCATCGTGCACCACTGGACTGCTGTTATCAGAAATCCCCTGATATGATGTCTGGATTTCTTGACACAATGGGACATTTTGAGACCTTTGCTGAGGAAACATGCTGTCATTCAACTGCTTGACCTTGTTAGTCCTGAGGGTTGATTAGAGGCTATCTGGGACTGGCTCTTTGAAGAACGCACCGCTGTCTTTTCTCATCCCATGCAGTTGATCCATCTTGGCGAGCTGGCAGCGCACTCATTGCGGTTAAAGTTTAATGGAGTGAACATGAATATCACGGTCAATTGTGGGAGCCTCGTACATGTGGAGGACTGTGGTTTGTTATTTTAATAGATATGAGTAGGCTGATACAGAAACACTGCCTTCCAAGGCCCGAGCAGAGAAAATAGACAGGTCTCTGTGGATCTGGCTGTGGCTCAGGACTTAGTGAGTGAGAGCCTGAGTTGTGTCTGCCTTGATGTGACCTCGGGGGCGGGTGGTTAATGATGCTCCGGGGTCACTCATGACTGGTGTGTCAAGTTGCATGAGTCAGAAATATACACTTGACTTTATCATAACACCCACTCACTGCTCATTGATAAGGACAAAGGCTTTCTTCATCAATTATTAGCCACCACTCCAGGCCGAGCGGACGGCAACGTGCGGTAAAACACACCGAAAAACAATCAGCGCTGTTTATCTCCTCTTCGTGTACTTGTAATCGTCAGGCACTGACAGTCTGTGACTGACTGATGAAGGTTTCGTCTTTATTAAAGATCAACACTGGAGGAGTTGTCCTGTGGTGACATCATATTCCCGAGAAGCAGCTGTGTTTTCTCAGAGTCACTTCAGCAGCAAAGAGCTGAACTCAACAGAGTAATCTGCCAAGAAATGTAAATGTAGGAGTTAATGCTAGCGTTTGCATTATCATCATTTCTAAAGTAAGGGATGATGGTGTTCCCTAATGGCCGAGGGGTCTAAGATGTTGACCAGGCCGTCAAAACATCGCTGGACGGACTGGTTCATGGTTTTTATTTGCTGTAATCATAAACATGCCTCAACAAGAGACAAACAACAAAAATAACAAGAATAAAGGAAACAAAAGACATTTGTTGCGTGTAGGGCTGGGCAATAATTATAGTGATTTCATGATACGAGATAAATATTGTCTTAGATTTTGGATATCCTAACATCGTAATGCTGCATTACAGTCAACTGATATATTTAAATAATTCAGGCTTTTCTATCACGTGCACCCATTCAGTCATAACACCCACATCTAGTAATCAAAAATATAATTTTGTAAATATTTAATATTAGCACCAATGATTAACTCTATCGTCGCAATATTGATATCGAGGTATTCTGTCAAAAATACCATGATAATAGATTTTCTCCATGTTGACTATCCACAGTTGCATGCCATCTCACCTCATTCCCTCTCACCTCTTTAAAAAAGTATGCAGGGCAATTTACTCAAGGCTCGCTTAAAAAGCACACAAAATCACACACTTTCTGTGAAAAGCTGTCGAGATTAAACATAAAAAGTAAATTCTACTAAGTTGTTGTTACATTTGTTACCAGATGCAGCAGAAAAATGATGGCAAAAGGATTCAGACAAGGTGATTGGAGCTCCACCTGCTTACCTGTGGGGTGCAGCAGGTAGAGAGTGGTGGGTGCTGAGATCAGCACCATGGACAGGGCCAGCAAACAGGTTCACTCACCTTGAAGAGGCTTGAGCTGCTCTTTTTCATGCTTTTCCAGTCATAAATTAGATTACAAACTTCAAGATAGTAAATTCCACCTTTACTTTGCAGCATATTGATATACATGAATGAGTGTGGATTTTTGAGCCAGAAAATATAACAAATGTGACAAATTCTTTGGTGAAAATGTCAAATGTTACACATAAAAATGCCCGTGTTTCACCTGGAACAATACTTCACTCTCAGGCCTGTCCGAGGATGTAAATAGATGTTCGCTGGTGTTGTGACCTCTGACCCGGACTGCCCCCCTGTTTCCTGAACCAGATGCTGCTCCTGTGGACCACAGCCATCTTAACCTAAACAAAGTAATCCTCCACTAAACAAGATGGATATTGTATCACCAAACTAGTAAATACCAGAGGTTCTTAAACACATGAGCTGCTCTTTCCTCATCTCTGACTAGAACCAACGGGGAATAATCACTGCTTGTTTTGTTTTATGGATAAAAAAAGAAACATAACCTTTATTTTACGACAGTTTTCCAAATATTTTATGGTCTGATTTATTACAGTATACAAAAAATATGCCCTCTTGTGGGGAACATAATTAGAGCATTCAACAGTCCTCCAAGGAAAAGTTTGAAAATCTGCAGTATACTGGCTGCATGTCAAAAATGTTAGATTGGGATCATGTGTCGCCTATGTATAAAAGTATTTTGATCTCACTTGGTTTAAGAAAGACTAAATGGAAACATAAATCCAAAATCCGTGTGGGTTTGGTCTGCAGAGATGTACTAATTAACGTTGCACGAAACTGTTTTGAAATAAAGAAGTGTCAGCTCATACAATTACTGGAGACTATAGCAAACATATAGCAGCAGTGATGTGATGGACAAAATGCATGTTATTGGATTCAGGATAAAAAAAAACATGCATTGCTTTAGACGCGCAAAAGCAAAGCTGTTACTATGTGTTCATTTAGTTTATAATTGGCGTTTTTTTACACGTGATTTCGTTTCGGGGGCCCTTTTAGCATACATGCATAATGAGACAATTTCCTGTTCGATTTCCCCTCGACAATATGAACTTGATATAAAAAGATGTGACGAAAATTATTTTAGAGTCATGATTATTAATTGGTTGTTTTTTTGTAATAATGATGTGGGAATAAAACAACGTCACTCAGTTGTCTTTTCTTTCTCTGACTTCGTATTAGGAGCGTTTCTGATAGTTCATTGGATGCTCCCACCCCTCGCCTCACGTAATTCATCTTCTTGGCCAATCGTGTCCCTCCCCAAAAAGTTTACGCCATGCAGCCTATAAGAACTGCCTAAGTTTCTTAAGTATCACAGAAGACTTGTCCTCCCAGGAACCCATCTATGGATACTTTGGTGTCGTCAAAGCCAGATAGACGTACAGGTGGACCAGTTCCGTGACTTCATGAGAGGGAAATCAGTGTTGGGACACTTTCTCGCTGCCATCTACCCAAGAGGAGATGTCTGAGGAAAATCTGGGGGAAGAGTCGAGTAGCTCCCCTGTCTCTCCTGTGGACAGCCTGAGCAACAGCGAGGGGGAGTTGGACAGACAGCCGAAGAGGTGTGGGAGGAAGAAGAGACCGAGCAGGAAAAACGGGGAGGACTCAGATAGCCCGACCCCTGGGAAACGAGGGAAGAAGTCCACCAGCAGCAGCCCCCAGTCGTTCGAGGATCTCCAGTCGCAGCGGGTCATGGCCAACGTCCGGGAGCGACAGAGGACCCAGTCTCTCAACGAGGCGTTCACGTCTTTGCGGAAAATTATCCCCACTTTGCCCTCGGACAAACTCAGCAAAATACAGACCCTAAAACTTGCATCCAGATACATCGACTTCCTGTACCAGGTGCTGCAGAGTGACGAGCTGGACGCCAAAATGTCTAGTTGTAGTTATGTGGCTCACGAGAGGCTGAGCTACGCCTTCTCCGTGTGGAGGATGGAGGGCGCTTGGTCCATGTCAACGTCTCACTAACATCTGGAGAAATGATGCCCTAAATGGTACGCTTGATTTTCAGTTTAAAACGCATGATCCAAGCCTTCAACTGTGGGGGGGGGGGAATACCCCGCTAGAAAATGTTATTTAATGGCTGTACCGTAATGCAACCAAAGTATGTTGTGGACCTCTGTGCACAGTTTAATCAATGAATGCCTTGTCTAACCTACAGGTGACTGCTGAATCTACTTATCACATTCTGACGGGACAAATCTGGAGTCCAATGCTGGATACATGGGATCCCTCTATTTAAACCAAAGACGGCAGAAGCTCTGGGGGATCATTTTGCAGAGGCCCGATATGGGACCAGCAGCCGCGCGTTAGCTCCATACACTCCCATTCTGAAGCGTTTTCATGTTGTTGACGACGAATGCTAAAAAAAATAACATGTGTTTTTTTCTGGAGGAAAAGACATTTTAAATGCATGTCTTAGGAGTTATTTCTGTGGAGGTCAAAGTCCATTATCAAAGCAGTTGTGAGACTGTCAACTGGTGGTGTAGCTCACATTATAGACTGACTGTGTGGATCCAACCTGTGGAAAAAAAATACATTTATTTATTTATTGGTGAAACGTGTTACATTGAGGAATAGATCCTGTGTCTGAAATACAAAATGCATTCCTATTTTTTACTATTGTTTTTTTGTAAATGTTTGTATATGTTTTGCATTAAACAAAATGACGATTAAAGTGTTTGCCTTTGACTTTCTTTCTTTATATTTTTTTTGCAAAGCTAATGTAATTGTTCCTAAGGCAAAAACAAATGGTGGGCAACGTAAATTGCACATTAAATGAAATAACTTTCATGCATGCATCACGTGGCCTGTACTTCACATCAGATTTAATGACAAAAGCTTCCACTATATCGCCAGTCACTTGGGAAAATAAATGGAGTTATTATTGGCTTGAGTGAAAGCGTTGGAGAAACATGCAGAGATTTTTGTATATACTGCTACACATCCAAAAGGAAGAAAGAAAAATACATTTTTCTTGTCATGACTAAAACTATTTAAGACACAGTTTAAACATGAGGAAAAGTATTATCGAAAAAAAATCAGCTGTAAAAAAAACAGAGTAAGTCTGTGTAAACGAAGGTAAAATTCCATTTTAATTAAAAATGTTAAAGCTTCGTGCAGGCTCCAGTTTCTCTCTCACTCTCCCTTTTCCTGGATTTGTTTACAGTTGGATTAAGGACCTGGGACTCACCATTATAAGTAAATAAGATACACTGGGGTCATGTCAACCTGCTGTTGGACCCATGCTACAGTCTCTCTTCTGCCTGCAGTTGAACATAAACAGCGAGACAGTTAAGTGCTCAGGATTTTAGACATTTTGTCAAACTAACTCGTTTTTCTGTTTTAATGCAGCATAGCATTCATGATGACACAATTTAAATGCTGCAATCGTAAATGGAAAATGGCAATAGCCTCTTGTGATTTTTAAGATTTGCAACATAACAACCAAAATATTCCCGATTATTGTCACTAAATAAATCTTTCATAGGCAACTGTTATCGTGCTGTGATTGATCTCAGCGATCTGGGAAAGTGTTTCTCACTGTCCGAATCAAAGTGTGTGCCCGTTTGAAGGTGTGTAATTGGCTTGCGAGGCATGTATGGAATTCCCAGATGTCTATGAAATTTAAGGAGGCCGTCGAGGTATAGGCTGTAGGTCTGTACGTAGAGGCTATTCTCACTGAAATGTTGGGGGGGAAACGCTTTACAGACCCAGTCCAGATTAATAAACAGCGGTTTCTGAACCTTGATATATTTAAGTTTTCACTCAAAACCAGATACATGAACAGAGTTTATAATAATTGATATACATCACACAAAAAACGTTTATTCTTTTTGAAATGTCCAGCTCTTATGCAATGCAATAGGTTAAAATAAGTTTCCTCTCCCTTTTTTTTCAGCAGAGAGGAGTTGGCAATTGACACGATGCAGAGGCACAGAATGAAACCTATTTAGAACAGATGTTAGTATTTTTAAAAAAAAGTCACGTGAAACGAGCAGATGTTCAGACTGTGCAGAGACTCGCCGTGCAGCGCATTACTCTGCAGAGAGAGAGCTCGGAGGAGCATTGCTTCCACACAGACACGAACTGTGAGTCTGCAGTCCTACATTCAGATCATCAGTAGGCTTGATTAAAATGGATTAATAAAAGGGCCACCTGCGGGGAGTAACATGGAGCTGGCTGACCGCTGAGACAAAGGTAGGCTGTAAGAAAAGGTGGACAGTCTGTAGGAGTCATTGCGTGAGATGTTGACTCGTTTATTTTTGCTGTAAGATACGAGCAGATCAGGATGTTTTTTCAAAGCTTCCAACACTAACGGGCCTACTGCCGTCAAAGTTTCAGGCTTCTTTGAAGCCTGCGTGTGTGTGTGTGTGTGTGTGTGTGTGTGTGTGTGTGTGTGTGTGTGTGTGTGTGTGTTTGGGGGGAGGGAGGGGGCTGAAGGAGGGGAGTAACTGAAAAATCGGAGAGAATTTATCATCCTATTGGGAGAAAAACATGACCCATAAACCCTTGACTACGAGAACTGTTGTGTCATACGATAACTTGAATGATAATAAATAGACTAGATTGACTGCACTATATCAAATTACAATTTTCTCTATTTCTTTATTATCTGAGTAACATGCTTCCATGTGTTCAAATGGATAATTTGCTCTGAATGTCTTTGTGCAGCTTAGAAAAAGTTGATATGAAATCTATCTATTGCGATTTAAATCAAAAGTTATTAAACAACATATATTATTATTATTGCATATTCTTGACAATGTATTAGGCTGGGTGCCTGGCGTAACAATTCAAAATTGTCGATTCTGTCTATAGATTTGTTTTCATAATAAAAGCTCTCGGGTTTGTAACCAAATATCGCAGTTCATTCACGTGCATCAGCAGCTGACAGGTGATATATCACTTCAGACAGGTTTTTCATGAATTATATTAATTTAATTTTTATCATTTATTATGTTTGACATCCAGATTTTGCCTCTTTTTAAATTATGTCAAGTTTCAATATTTTCTTTCTTCTATTTTTTTTTGCATTTAAAAAAATATTTATTTAAATAGTTTTTAAGTGCAGCTTACTTAAAATAATATGGTGTGACTGATAATAATGCTAAAGCCTGTTAGAATCATTTATACAACAGTTATAAAACAATGAACAACATATACACTCAAGATGACTTAAGTTTGTTCTATGTTGTTGCATTAAAAAGTTTATTTCTGAGCTCAACATGTGCAGACTTTACAACCATTTCCACAAGTGGAATTCCAGATTTTCCATTTTGAGTTTCAGTGAGAAATAAAAAGTCCTCTGGTTGGTAATCAAACTTTTTCAGGGTCACACTCGGTTTCATCCACACCTTTAACAATACCTCAGAAAGTGAAAATTAAAGCCAGGAGTAGCTGATAAGTAGATAAGATCAGAGTACAGGATTGCTCTTGAGGCAAGAAAACACAAGAGAGGCTAAACAGAAACAGTGCATACCTCCTGCATATGGAGTCTGCTGAGTATTGAATACATTAACATCTAGAATGCAGCTCTTTGTTGAGAGGGCATTTTAGAAGCAGAGCAGTTGTGATCCATGAAAAATCAAGTTGAAAACAGCCATATTGTGTACCATCGACTCCATAAAAGTCTTAAAAGACATAAAACCCTTTTTGGTGCAACAAACTGTTGTTCGAGAAAAAAAGTTGAAGCAAACAAAATGCCAAGAAATATGAAATTTCTTACTTGTAGAAATGGCAGCTATAAGTACCTGTTAAATGTCCAATGACCTGTTGCTGTTGAGAATAAGCAGCTGACAGCAGCTGCGCGTATACCTTTTCAGATGACAGCGCCATGAGATCAGGCCTCAAGTTATGAAGAACTGTGGGTCAAAGAATAAAACGTGGGATATTTCCACTCCCTTCTCATCTGATCACTACAGGAGGAAGATGATGAAGTTTTGACCTGTTTTGGTTTAAAGATTTAAAATTAACAGAAAAACAACCACCACTGTCAGATTAATTGAGTTTCTTTGTCACCAGATTTGTGCAACAACATCGTTCTGTTTAAACTGCAAAGTAAAGCTAACATGTACCTGTATTTGCATACTTCAAGCTTAAGATAACAATCCTGTCTTAAATCAAAAACATACAACCGTGGATGCCTTTCATTTCTTTGTATGCATAAGCACAGGTGTGTTTCTGAGAATTCATTGCGCTCTGAGCTGGAGACTGACTGTTTAGAAAATGCATCAGGCCCAAACGTGCTTCGGAACTCCTATCTCTGCAAATAATGAAGATTATTTGGTGATGAAAGTTTTAACAAATTCCAAAAGTTTAGAAAGTTTTACAGACAGTGTTGTGTTTTTCATCATCAATTCAAAAGGTATCTCCTGAAGTCACAGATTACGCTCTTAATGATCAACTGCTGAATCTAGAGAGTTGTCAACTAACAAATCCAATCTCTGTGGAAACCAGTGGGAGATCCAACTTTCAAAAGTATTTTCCCCCGAATATAAAACATTGTCTTTATACAAATCAGTTGTCAAATAGTGTATCTTTAACCTGGAATCAAGAAGTGAGGATAGTCAATGCTGAAAAAGATTTGATGTGTAAATGACGCAGACACCTGCGCTGCACTTACTTGATAAGAACATAAAACAACAAAGAAGGGTGATTTGGTATTTGGCTTCAAAAGTATTTGGCAGATTTACTGATTACTGCTTATGCGTTCAGATCATCTCAAACTGCATTTGTTTTCTTTCATCTTGCAAAAGACAAAGAAAACTAGTTTTGATCATATGTTGCTTTGATCATATGGTTTTGCATTTAGGAATGAAGGTGAACTTGCAGAAAGAACACCAAAATCCTCATGTGCTGAATGATGTGTCTCCTTTTTTTCAGATAAGCATTCATTTGCAAACATTTAACGATTTTCATCCTGGGATTCTAAAACAACCAGAAAGTTGTGAGGCCCTTTAGGTAACGTTGACATGTTATTTCTTGAAATATTTGGAGAAAAGTTGACACTACAGGAGGAATTATACGCCTTTGGCTGTTTGAGTAAATGTTAAATAGATGCTTGTTTGAATCTTTTTGAAGGCTTGTGGACACACACAATGTTTAAGTTGGCAAATTACAGATTTCAACTGAAAATGTGAAGCCATAACAGGTCAGCGTTTCATCACAGTGAAAGGTGCACTGGTCATCAAGAATGACGGCATGATTAAGGCATGCGATGTGATCCCAGGACCAGAGATGTACTTTGATACGCAGTCAAAACGTGTGCACCTTGTGTTGAACCTTTGCTGCGTGTGATGTGTGCCACCCAGGCTGCAGACAAGACACGGATCAGTGTGTTTTAGGGGAATGCACAATGATGTCACAGACAGGAAAAAGGTTGGAAAAGTCTTGGCACCTTTTGGAATTGGCCGGATCCCCATTGGCTCAGCAGAAACGCTGGAATAATAAACAGGCAATCAGAAGGCAGCGTGAGCGTACACAAAGACATTGCAAAACTTTGCAGATAATAAAAGCAGATTTTTCACTGGAGGGGAATGATTATTTGTGTTCTTCAGTTGTCCATAAATAGAGGGCCTCTCACAGGAAGTATAAACATACAGATGGAGCGGAGGGCAGTCGTAGTCCAACGCAGTGATTTCAAACATCCCTGTTTATGTTCAATCAAGATGGAGTATATAACTTTAGCCCCAGTTTGAGCATGGAATACAAAGGATTATTTTCTGAGGGGAGAGAGAAAAAGAATACCTCACTATAGAATGTAAACTGTTTGACGAGCGTTTCACTCATTATGGAAACTGAACCACACATTTA